CATAATCTCTTTATGTAATAAGGCAATATACATGACATCTCTTAATTTAATATACTTACTTGTATAAACTTCTATTCCTTTTGGTTCTCCTTCAGTTTTATTATCACCAACTTGTGCATATATTTCAAACCTGTATAATGTTCCAGGGTCCAACTGAATAATTTGCACATATGTGGTACTAGAAGTTATATTGCGCAAATGACCAGGTCCATCAATGTGTATTCGATAAGTGTTATTCAGTGCATTTGTATCATTATTTTCCCATTTTAAATCCAAGGTTTTAGTAGTGATGTTTTCAGCTTTAATATCAAAAACTGGACTGGGCTCTGTGTAACAGAAAAAGGCCTTTAGCTTAGTGAAGCAATTTATAATCAGGATGTTAAATGAAGAACAGGTTAAATATTTAGCATTTTTCTGTAGATGTAGAAATCATCATGTAAAATGGAACTTTTTATTTCACATAACATACAGTATGTCTGTACTTCTTGATTTTATTTGGCAAATTAGGAGCTGTGTTACAATGTTATATTCGTCGTTAGTTTTGATGCTTTGGGAGATGATTCAAGAGCTGGACAGGGCTGTTTAAAAAAAACAATTAAATCTTCCTTTTAAAAAAATCTTGGACTAGGAATCAAATTTGTGCCAAATTGCCAATTGTTACTGTCAGATATAAAACCCTATTTAAGTTCTCAAAGAATGTATGTAAAATAAACTATGGAAGAGGCATGGAATAATAATGTGCTCATTTAATCCATGCCACCCCCCCAGTTATATTTGCCTCAATTTTATTTCATTTTTACTTCAGTTTCCTTCCACTGAGCAGAAAGATCAGAAAGAACATTCTTTTGTGTCAGTCTGAACCTGGCTTAATTTCTTAAACCCTAGTGCCACAGAATTCCCAATCATACAGAACATTCTAAACTCATTCAACCAAACACGTAAAGGATTGTCAATGTGGATGCTAGAAACTGGGCTGGGTTCTGTTGAAAAAGAGAAAAATTATTTTTAGCAGTAAATAAAAATATATTAATGTAGTGCATGAAATGTTAACAAAGAATCCAAGCATGCCTGAAATTAATCATATAATTAATTATGTACTTACCTCTATAAAAAGAGTTTGCATTTAGTTTTAGATGGTAATAAAGGAGACTTACATAATAATTATTGAAGCTCATTTAATAACCAGAAGCACTTACTAGTACAATCACTTCACTTAACTAAGCGTACTTACTGATATAAACACTTGTTTCATTTGGATTTCCTTCAGTCTTACCACCATCTACTTGTAGATATATTTTAAATCTGTATAATGTTCCAGGATACAAATTACTAATTGACACACTGAACTTATTAGAACTTTTATTATCAACACCCATCAGGTCCATTAACTTCTATTCGGTAAGTATAATTAGATTTATTCATTCATTCATTCATTCATTCATTCATTCATTCATTCATTCATTCATAAATCAAATTTGTCACTGCCCATCTCATTAAAAAACAACTCTGGGCAGTTTACAAAGCAGTTAAAATCAATTAAAAGTACAATATAAAATAATTAATAATACAATATTAAAATAACATAGATGCATTTATTTCGTTATTTTTCCAACTTAAGTTCAGGGTTGTATGGTTGATATTTTCAGTGCGAATACTATGAATTGGACTTGGCTCTGAGAAAGAGAAAACAGTCTTCCTTGATCAGAGAATTAAATTCTTATACCATTAAATATTACTAACACAGATTACTATTTGTTAATATATAAGTTTCCTCCTTTTTCACTGTTTCTAGTACTGTGATATCATTTTAAGGTATGGCAATATTTTGAGACCACCTCAAGGATTTTTAATATTATTACAAGTTTAAAAGAACATGTGGTCATTTTATCACCCATATTAAGACTTTAGAAGCAGAATGTAATAAATAAACACACATAACACTGATATTAGGATTTAATAGTAAGGAAGATATATTAGCAAAACATAATTATTCCTTCATCTGGAAGTTGCAGGCTGAAATCCTGTCCTGTGGCAGACAATTTTACTTTTAACATTTACACTGCAGTGAAAAAACAGAAAAGAAAATGTGATTTACATGCTACCTCTCCACGCAACCTATTTGGAGATAAGGTTTTTAAGTAGTGCAGCAATAATTAAAAAAAATAATCTATGAGGCTTCTGTTACCGTGGCAAATTGTAAAAAAGCTGATAAAGTCTTTATGAAAGAATTCCAGCAACTACTACGTATTGGATGCAAGCCCTATTTACAGTGAAATCAAGGTTTAAGTTCTTGCACGTTTTTGCACATGGAATGTAATCGTCTTGAAGCCACTCTCTGATGAAGGTTTCCATCTGCCCCTATCCTAAGAATGGAAAAATGTCTGTTTGCTTCTGACCTTATGAGCCCCATCTCCTATATAACCAATCTAATTAAATGCCCATGTATATCATTTAAAAAAGGGGCTGGAGATTAAATCAGACAATGCACCTCTTTTAAAATGAATAGTCTTATTTAAACTGAGATGACATCTCTAGCACTGGGAGAGACTCCTCTTTTAAGGTGATGCCAATTATGCGTGGTTACAATACAAAGTTAGTTTTCTTCATAATTTAGAAAAAGATATAGATAGATATATAAGATTTCTTGCCCACACTTTCAGCAGCAATCAGCATGCTTAGGATGGCATAACCACAGCCAGCATCTAAAGTAGTAACTATTAAAATAGTAAAAAGTAATAAATTAAAATAGTAAAGGACTGCAGAGCAAAAAGCTCCTGTAAAATGTAAGTACATGACTTCTGGTGAGTAATGGCCACATGCTAGGCACTCCTTTTCAAGCAGAGAGAGTCATCTTCATAGACTTTTTTAGGCTCAGGAAGGCTCCTGGAGCTGGAAGAATTCTTTGAGCCAAGGAGAACCCTAGAAATTGTCCCATACAACTTCCAGACAGCCTTTCACAGACAGAAGACCTCAAAATGGAGACTTTCAGGATCAACTGGTGAGTTGAGCCAGGAGGCGGGGTTACCAGCAAGTTCCAAGCTGCAAAAAAGCTGGGGGGGGGGGGGAAACCCGGATACGTGCACTGACCTTCTCATTTCCAAAACCACCTTATTTTTTTTTTGTTTTAATTCTATAGGGTTAAAGAGAGGCTTTCTTCAGTTACAGTGTATTTTTTCATTTTGACTACTATAGGTGCTTCATGGAAAGATTTATACCTTTTTTTCTTTTAATTAGGATAAATAGTTTTGTACATTCAGCAAAAAAGGCAAAGGCTTGGACTTTTTATTAATTTTTAAGAAACAAGAGAAAAGGAATTCTTTTTATTATTTTTTTTTCCTGGCAAATCCGAGCTTGGGTTTTTGATATTGAAATGTGGATATGGGAACTGCGTGAACTCTGCTTTGTTTTCTTACTTAATCAGCCCTGACTGGAGAGGAATTTTAAACAAGATAAAGAGACTCTCTTTGAATAGAATGTAATTTGTATTTGTGCCACTAGAGAGCGCTATTGAGCATGGCTATTAAGAGAGCAAACTGCAGGGATGAATGTTTCAAGATTATGTTTCAAAACTTTGCAGAAAAAATAATTCAGTCACTGGAGGATAAATTTGATAATTTGAACAAGAAGCCTGATGCTAAATTAAATGAGCCTGCTATCGATGTGAGGCAAGTTGAACACAAGTTGGATATTTTGGAGAATAATATGGATAATAAAGATACAGAAGAAGAAAGAGAGATGGATATATCACTGGATCTTAAAGAATCTTATTTTGGACTTACAGTTACTTTGGATCAGCCTAAGAATGATGTTGTTCTGGATTTACAAAAAGAATCTTTTAAATCACTGAGAGACAAAGAGAACTTATTGAAATGGTTCCTGAAAGAAGAAGATAAGGAGAAAATAATAAAGATTCAACTTGTGGGGCACTGTTTGCTAGGTTTACAGAATGAAAGTAAACAGAACTGGGATCAGTCTAATGGTAACACTATTTTGGATCTACCAAAAGAAGATCTTAAACTACTAAAGATAATGTATTGAAGTTGCTTCTGAAAGAAGAAGACAAGGAGAAAATAATAAAGACGCAAAATAATAAAGACGCAATATGTGAAGTATATTATTAGGATTAGGATTAAGGATTAAAGAATTAATCCTTAATTAATTAATCCTAATTAATTAGGATTAAAGAATGAACCTCTTAAAAGTAAACAGAAAGTGTATAAAGTAAATCTGTTTGATCATGGTCAAATCATAGGCTGTGGTTTCTGATAGATTAATGGTAATGTTTTGGGACCAGAACTGTATGATGATGTTACTAAGATTATTGTTGCTTAATAGTAGAAAAAATGAATATAGGTTGTGACTCCTGATAGTTATTAGAGGGGTTTCTTGTTGGTTAGATGGGGAAGTTACTAGGACTATATAAGGGAATGTTGGGAAATACGAGTGATATGAAAGTGCTTTCTATTATTTTTGGGAAGGGATGATGGTATATAATACTAGTGAGATTTTTATATGCACATAGATGACAAAAACACACACATATTTAGGATTGGACATTAATGGTAGAGGCACAGTGACATCATTGAAATTTAAAAAGGGGGGTTTAGCCTGGCTTCTGTTTGGAACTTGGTTTTGTTTTTTTTTCTTTTGATTGGGATTGTAAAATGCCAGTTGACTTGGGGTTTTGATAATTATTAGCTTTTAGGATTAGAGCAGTATTTTGTATTAGTTATATTTTTAGAGTAAAAGATGTATGTATTCTATATTTGTATCTGCAACAAAGAAAGTTGGAAGTCACCTGTTCTTTCTCTTCTTTTCATTTTTCTTTTCTGCGCTTTTAACTTTATTTCTTTTTTTCTGAACTTTTCTTTTTGTTTTTTCTGTTTCCTTATATTTTATTCTTTATTGAAATTTAATAAAGTTTCTTTTAAAAAAAGTAAAATGTTAAGTACATTTAAACTTATTGGCATATATTTTCATGGATAAATAAATTACAGCTCCTTTCATTCAGTCGTATTCCTACTTATTGGGGGTGGGGAGAAGAGGAGGAGGTAGAAAACTGCCAAAGGAAAAAGAGCCAAGAGAAAGGCTAGCTTCCACTTCTTTTGGAGGAAACTTGTTGAGTGATGATCAAGGATGCAGCAGACAATGACTTTAAAAAGCAGGTAAAGGAATATAAGAAGAAAGTGTGAGTCTGAAAGAGAGCTAGTTTATTGTTCCCACCCCCAGTTTCCTCACAAGTGCTATAAAACCTATAACGGGTTGGGCTGAGCAACTACAGATGAGAAGCTTTAGATCCAGCAAGGAATTTCTACTAGATTAATAAGGAAGCTGGCAATTTCGGCCAATTTCTTCCTCCTTACCCTCTAGTTCCATATTGATTGTTTGATTATATGCCATCAAATCGGTGTCAGCTCTTAGCAACCGGTTTGCTTCATGATGATCTGTCACTAACCTTGTCTTTCAGGTCTTCCAACGGTGTACTCATCACCACTGTAACTGTTCCTGAGAGATGGGGGCCCTCTTCTGGAAGTGGACTAAGAGCTATTAAGGGAAAGGGGATGAGAGATCCTCCTCTCCTACCAACAGAAGTTTCTGAGCCAAACCACTTCAGGATGCTGTTGACTAGGGAATAAAAGCTCTCAACTCAAAACATTATCTTTACACACCAAAATTCCTGGAAGCGGTCACTGCATTCTGTTTGGAACACAGGACAACCTGGAAACAAACAACTAATGGGCAGTTGCCTCGACAGTTATTGTGAAGCGGGAGGCAGCTGGTGTAAGCAGGTGGATTCTGGCTTACTGTATCATCTGAGTGTGCTACAATTTAATTCTCATGACATATCCAGGCATAACAGGTTTTTCAAACCCTTCCTTTTGCAGATGTAATTATGAGAGTACCTTCTCACACAGTCAGAAGCAACTAGCCTGATACCAAATCAGGCTAATATCAAACAAGCAGAAATTGTTTCTCCCACCCAAAAGAGAATGTCTTTCCAATAGAAGGGAATATACGTAGCTCAGTGTTGAACTGTGGAGTCCTTGGTGCTCCCTAAGCTTGGTTATTTGCTTGCAGACATTTCATTACCTGACTAGGTAACATTAGGGTTACCTAGTCATTACTAGGTAACATTACCTACTAGGTAACATTACTTAGTCGGCACATGAAACGTCTGCAAGCAAGCAACCAAGCTTAGGGAGCACCAAAGACTCCAGAGAATGTCTTTATCTGATTAAAACTTGCAGATAGAAGGAAAAGATAGAAGAATCTGAACTTTGATTATGTTATAAATAAGGCTTGCCTTTGATACATAGTTCCTGGAATTCTTTCATAATGGCTTCATGAACTTTGCTACAATACATCTACTTATCATACGTTTGGTATTTTTGTAGTTTCTAGCATAGGTAGCCAAAGGAAGTCTGACAGTAACCCAATACTGATAAACTGATTCCAAATCTCATTTTCTCACTGGCTATTCCTAGTTCCAGGGAAAAAAAAGCTGTGATCTCTTAATCATGGGCTAATAATTAGTTAATTTGAGTGAGCTCAGGTTGCCTACTATGCATGCCGTCATAATTGACTTTCTCTCATCTTAAAATGTAAGAATGACACTGCTGTCAGAATGATCTTGAAAGCCATTTTCATGGAACTTCTAACCCATCACTTACTTGTAAAAATGTATTTGCAGCAAATTTTAGTACCATTTTTGAAATAAACTAAGTACTGAACACCAGGATGAGGCCCAGAAATTGAGTCATTCCCAGACAGATGCACATTTGATCCATTTTGAAAAGTTGCATTCCATTTTGTAGAGTTGTCAGGTAACTGGATACTTGTTGTTTCTGTTATATTGCTTATGAAATTGCATTCTTTATCACCTACACAGAAAAAGAGAAAAAGATAGCCACAGCTCCATTTTTATGTAACCAGACTTTTGCTACTAAGTGCAGCATTATTTTTTCTTCTTTATTATTAAGTGGGGGAAACCGTCTATAACTTATATGAGCTTCAGGTATCGTGAACTATGCAAGAGAGGATGCTATTAAGATCAGGAGGCATCTAGTACGGATGGAACGTTAATGCATTATGTACTAGAGTGTTTGCAAAGGACATAAAGAGTGGTACAGGACTGTGGGTGAACAGGGTATGCCGCATCTTCATGGATATCCCGTTATTTCATACAGTAAAACGATGGTTTAAATAATACAAGCAATGCATCTGCGTTCCCAATTGTGATTTATTTAGCTTGGGACTAGCATGTAGTGTAAACCCAATCAATTGTAGTTTATTTTAACAAACATGTTTAATCATAGCTTAGCATGTTATATAAACCCAGTCACCATCTACACCACTATATGAAGTATACAATGTTACTTTCCAATATTCATAAACTTGTCATCGTGAAGAGCAGTGTATTTCAAATTATAGGTTAAATACAATGATCTTTCCTAGACCACGTATAGAGGTACGTGGTTTAGCATTTATACAAATACTGAGTCATCAGTGTTGATTCTGCAAAAACTTTTAGGCATAATGCTGAAATTGGGACATATAACAGAATGGTACTCACATGTAGCAATGGCTTTTATCTGTAAAACAAAAAATCATACACATTAGAATACATTGAATCCTTTATGCTACAGGACACACTCATACTAATTGTGAATCAGTGTTATAACAAAGTACCTACACTAAGAACCAGAAGTTTGATTCTATCACACTATAGTCAAGTTTAGAAAGTATATTGACTCAGATTCAAATTTAATGTTCCACCTTGAATGATATCCAATGAAGTTGTTAGCTGCAAATGTAAAAAATTTAATTCCATTCCATCAAATGGCTGAACATTATTGGATAGTTTTAACCAAAGCCATCTGATACAGGTAATCCTCACTTATCGACCACAATAGGGACTGGCAATTCTATTGCTAAGTGGCATGGTCGTTAAGTGCGACATCACGTAACCGCGCCAACCTAAGACATCAGTTCTGGCTGCAGTTAAGTGAATCAACGTGGGTCATTAAGCACGATGTCACATGACCACAACTTGGAACTTCCTACTGGCTTCCCCATTGACTTTGCTTGTTGGAAGCCAGCTGTGAAGTTTGCAAACGGTGATCATGTGACCATAGGACACTGCAACCATTGTAAATGCATGCCAGTTGCCAAGTGCCCAAATCGCGACCATGTGACCACAGGGATACTGTGATGGACAGCTGCAACTTCAAGGACTAGTCGCAAGTCTCATTTTTTAGTGCCACTGTAACTTTGAACGGTCGCTGAACAAGTGGCTGGCAAACAAGGACTAACTGTATTGTAAAAGAAAATTTCATCTGTCAATCAAGTGATGGGAATACATATCAGCCATAAATTCTAGAGCCAGAAACCAATTTATACTGAACCCAAAACTTTTCCTAGCATAGTCTAAACTATGAAGGCAGCCCCCCCCCCCCTTTCTCTTTAGTTATAAAGGGTGGTGGTGTTATATATAACCTAGAGGTCACAACTATATATAGTGACACCTACAGTTCCCAGCCCAGCTTGGTCCATGAATGCAATGGTCATTCAGGACCTCACAGTGAAACTCAGAGTTTATAAGCTCTCTAAGCAAACAAGCAAATAAATAAGACCATAAATTCTGGTCTATAAATTGAGCTTTCTGCTGTTTTATTACTTCTGATAAATTCTAACTCAGAAACACTATAAATTTTGCAAGAATATTGAAAATACAGAAGTCCCTTATATACATGCTTAATCATTCTTAAACTTATCTAAACATTGCGTCTAAAAACACAAATTAATCGGTTTTTCCACAATCTGTATTTCCTGCTGAAAAATTCACTTTCCCATTTGATTTCATTCCTACTGTAGTGAGGTAATCTGTTAAAGAGAGTTATCTATCCATCCATCTTCACATTCAAATACATTAATAGCATAGTTCATATTTCACAAGGTGCTCAGGACTGAAAGCTATCTCCCGTAATACTGAAAGAACACCACTAGAGGCCACAATAAAACCATAAACACACTAAAAACAAATAAAGAAACTTTTTAAATTTTCTCTTTCTCTTTCATTAGGGAAAAGAGGTTCATCACTGCCTCCTTTCTCTTCCTGTAATGCATTTTATTCAACTTTTGTTTAGCTTTTGGGATTTATTACACATATATTGTAAAGTTAAATCTTATCTCCATCTCCAAAATCCCTCATACTCATTACATGAATTTTGAAACCACTGATTTACTCATTCATCTTACCATTCTAATTCTTGGCTTTCCATTTTAAAGGAACAAATACAAGAACATAAAATACTGCATATAAAATAAACTGTATCACCCACCATAAATCAGAGAATTTCACATCCTATGTATCAACAAACAAGAAGATGCTTCCTTAGTTCCCATCAGCCATCAAATTTCTGATATAATCTAATAGCTTGGCTAAGAAGCTGGTTAGTTTTGCCTACGTCAGGCAGTCAAGCCAATCTTTCTCTATATAAATGAAAAAGTCAGTGCAAACTGTAGATATGTTTATTTTTTAAACCTGTATCTAGCTCTTCCCATTTGTTGTTTTTAAATTAAGATACCTGACTTTTATAGTATTTTGCTCTGTTAAAGATGACTACATCTGAAAAGATATGAACTACGCCTCTAGCACCATTTTTTGTTGTTATTAAACACTTTCAATACTTTGTATATAAACAGCAATGTAGAAACGGGGGGAGGGGGGACAAATTCTGGATTTGCACAGCATGCTAGACCAGGATAAACTGGATTGAGTAGTTTGTGGTTCTATGTGTTCTGCAAGGTCAGCCTTTATTTCATCATGTTGTGTGAATTAGGTCCTTATTGTAAGTCATAATATGGCTTATTTGTACATAGCACATTACATGAACGAAGGAACATTCACTGAATTTCATTTTAACATGTTGTATGGACACAGCCACGGTGTTCTTTTCCAGCTATTCCTACCAGAAGCCTTCAGTGAACAGAACAAGCACTTCTGATTTGGGGTGGATGGGTGAGGTGACCCATGGTGGCACTTCAGGCGACCGTGTGTACTTGCTATCATTTCTAAAAATGACTGCCGACTCTACAAGCCCCCACCTCCAGAGACTGGATTAATGAGGAAAGGGTTTCAAACCTGTCTAGGCTGCACTAGTAAATTAATTGGGGGGTGGGAGGTGGGAAAACCAATAGAAGCGGTATGGATCTGAGATAACAGGGGTGCGATATTATGGTAGCCAAAGTATTGCCAGGTATTCAGCTTTGTACTCAGTGTATATTTCATTAGATAATAGCTTTGACCCCAACATCTTCCTTTCCACAGTGGCCATCCAGAACTACCTAACAGTTAAAGGGTGTTGCTAAAGGGCCACAGCTTTTTTTTTTTTAATTGCTGGTTTACAGGCACCTAGCATTCAAAGTGATTAAAGAAATTATCAGCTCTCCCAGGCGATATATTATCTTTCCCATTCGTAACTTAAGAACATTTTGTCCAGAAAACTCTTCTATTTACTAATTTTTTGTTTGCATAATGCATTATTAGATATGCACTAACTCACTTTATGGTATCTGTTCTAAATGTATTACATAATTAACTTATCTATACCAGGAAGTTTTAATGCTTCTTTTTGAAAGGTCATAATAATTTACATATATCTAAATTTCAACACAACCAATCACCACTTATATTTTTTGTAATTCATTCCCCTAGATTCTCACTCTGTTTTTCCTTCTTCCCATAAACAAAGGTACACACCCCTGCCACACAAGTTCACATTCAGGGCATGTATTGAAGCAACATAATCTTTAAAGCATGACAGAGTAATACCTATCCCGCTAACGTTAGATTGTTTTAATTTGCAAAGGCCTAACATCATATGCAGATGATACTATTTGGTAGTGAGAGACTAGTAAATCTGTTCAGTAGCTGCAAAACCTAAGATGAATGAAGCATTTTGCTAAGGTGTCACCTCCAGATAAGCATGAATATCTTGGAATGAAATAGGAAAGTAGTACCTTCTGACTTTGGAGGCAAAACCAATTGCAGCCAGATGTATTTGATTCAGTGGTTATCATTATTTGGAGAGTTAAAATTCACCCTTTTTGGAAATCTTTGGCAAAATATGTTGCTAATCTAAATTTTCTATATGTTTTAAAAGCAGCTTATTTATGCTCTGGTTTGAAAAGTAATTTAATTCTACTTTTCAGTTATTAATTTTAAACATCTTAAGTAGGCTATATTTTATATATTTATAAGTTATAGGCCAATTTTTTATTTTAAATCTTTTTGGCACTTAAATGTTAATATATATAAACAAAATAGACATTTGTATACATTTTATAAGTTTATCATAGATCATATTGTTAAAAATTATGTTGATGTTAAATACTACTCTATTACCTTTTTACTACATAAAAAGGTTCACAATAACAAGCTCAGAATAATGAAGTAAAGCCAGTAAAACCTGAAATAAAAGCACCAATTACATGTCAGTGAGATCCCCATCTCACTGGCAAACTAAAAGAATTTTGCAACTTTCATCTACAAAGTTACAGATCTTTGTGGAGTATCTTTCCAGCTAGTCAATCATATGCCTATTTTTTAATTCTTAGATACTAGACTTGTGGATAACTTGAGTGAATATGTCACCTCTTTTGACATATCCATATGTCTGTACCTAAAAACTAGCATTATGTGTCCATCAAGCACTATAGATGGTTACAGCTCTGTAACTGTATAAAAAACTAAAACAGCTTATTCAAGGGTATGTTATTTTTCAACCTTGAGAATACTAAAAAAAAAAAGGGGGGGATATAAATTTTATAAATATGCTTTAATAGCTATATAGCCTTTTCAGCTTATCTCAGGAGCTTCATGATTCTCTCAAAAATGTAGTGCTGCCTTATGTACTGAAATATTTGACATGGAACAGGATTTAGCTCACTTTGTGAACCAGTTCTTACTTCAATCAATCTTTTTTAAAGTCTCTGTTCAGGTATCATATAAACAATTTTCTGTCAGCAACAAAAATCCATTAGCTCCCAGATCTTAAAAGGAGGAACATCAGCCTCCATACATGTTTTTAAACTAGTATTTATAGATACGAGAAAAAGAAAGCTAATTCCCTTAGAAAGAAAACAAAGCCTATGTGGTGAAGATAACATAGCTCTAAAATATTTCTAAAAAATTTAGAATATATGGAAATTCAAGCTATAAATGTTGACATATAAAGATGTAACTATATGCCTATAGAGTTAAAAAGAAAAACCAGCAGAAGCATTGAAGGAGAATTTGAAGGAGGAACAGGAGAGAGGAAAAGACAACGTAAAATGTTAAAGTAGCAAGAAAAGCAGAGGAAGTCCTCCAACAGCTTTGCAAAAAATCATCAATATATGATGATCTATATTAGGTTGGAAGTTCCCCTTCAATTGCCCAGAGACATACAGAATAAAGTGTAATGTGGCAAGGCACAAACTCACTGAAGAGTCTTTAATCCTTCTGACAATGAAGGATGCTACCTGGATTACCGGCTGCCTATCCATATGGTATGCCCAACTTCACATTTTACAAAACAAAAACATGTGC